TTTGACTTTTGAGTGACTTTGTCTCCTAATTAATTTGGGGCCCCTATAAAAACTGACAGCTTTTGAATTGCCTTCCTGGTCTAGGAATATCCTGAGCCACTTGCAAATTAGTATCTTAATGAAAAGCCCCATGTTGCAACTAGGAAATATTTTTTAAAAACAGGGGACTCATTGGACCAGCAGCACTTCGAAGAGTTCTTAAGCCAGTATCTGATACGGGCCTTGGCTTTACAGGTTTCGGGACTTGCTTTTCTCAGCTCAGCCTATGCTGTGTGTAACATTTTCCAAACTTCTGAGACTAATTTATAAACTAGAATGACAAGTTCTTCAATTTATAGTAAAATGTTCCCGATACGTAAGTAAGAAAATGATGATAAAGGTGTATACTCAGGAGTCAGGAGGCCGGGGTTTGAATCCTGGCCACACTGCTTCCTGGTTGTGTGTCCCTGTTTAGGCAAGTTACTTTACTCTGAGCCAGTTTTCTCAGCTATCAAAGGCAGGTTATAGGACCTCTCTCATGGTTGTGAGGATTGAATGAATTTGTACATGTACAATGCTGAAACTGCTTAGTACCGAGCAAGTGCTTAGTAAATGATAGCAATTCTTTTAACTTACATTGGGAGTACTTTCTCGTAGCATCTGTACCCACTCAAGACTAAATCATAGAACAGAAAGTTGCTTGGCAAATGTAAAATTAGAAGAGAGAAATGTAAATGTTGTTTAGGAAATCACTCCTGGGTCTTCTAATGGATATCTTCGATTGAGGATACTTCTGTCTACTTGACCAGTGAAGTCATTTTATTAGCCCTGCCTCTGTGTGGTCACAGTGAAAATACGGTCACAGATAGTTACAGTATTTCTCCTAAGGACACATAAGAATGGGAGGTAATAGGGAGATGTGCCTGTTTCGCATCACAGACGTACAAGCTGTAGGATGTGCAACAGAGTTCTTAGTGAAACATGAGATCTCAATCACTGGAGTTGAGATTCTCAGATCCAACTCTTCGTTTCACTCTGTAGTTGTGCTTCTCAAACCACAGCTCATTTTGATGCTGTTCCAGGGAAGCATTTCTAGATCTGCTTTCTCATCATGTATGATAGAGTTGCTTTCATGCTTGGCAAGCTGCTAAGGAGGAAAGAAACCGTCCTCAAGTGCCTGTGTCTGGCCTGCATTTGAAGGCACAGAACCCATCCAGCAAGATCAGTGCATTCTGTTGCCATAGGAATGTGGGAAAGACTGATAAATGGTGATGCGTCTGATTCTTTGACTCTCCTTCTGGTCTTTGTGCAAATTGCTATTTTTTTTTTTTTTCTGGTGAAATAAACCATCTTGGTTGTCTTAAGAGTACAAGGAATAGATCTCATCTTCAGTTAATTACATCGCAAGTCCGTTTTCCTAGTCCTCTGGATATAGTTTTATAAAACACTCTACTCTTCATAACTATGAACTGTTTGAAGGAGGCGCTTGCCGATTACTTTATCAACTCTGTTGATCTTACTCTGAGAAGTGACATAATACGAGGGTATGCTAGTTGGCTACCAGAATGCATTCCTTTTTTGTAATTTTAATAGAGTATATCTAGGCACC